ATTATTTCTCTCATCTTTAAAAGAAAAACATAAGCAAAAACTCAACATCACTATCCTCTCTGGCTACTGTCCAATTTCTCTCCTCTCTATAGCAAATTCTTTTAAAGATATCTACACTTGTTATCTCCAATCTTCTCCTTTCATTCCAGTCACGTTTTAGTTCCCATCACTTCTCTGCTCTTTTCCAGATTATCTCCAGGCTGATACCTCCAATGGTCATTAATCAGTCCTCATCTCACAGAAACTATCTCCAGCACTTGACATGCTAAACCTTTCTCCTTTCCTGAGACAATTTTTTTTCTTGGCTTCCAGGACACCACACTTCTCTGGTTTTCTCTTGGCTTTCTTGGCTGCTTTCCACCAGTCTACCTAACCTTTAAATGTTGCCTTGTGCTTGGGCTCAATTCTTGAATTCTCGTCTCTGTTTTATCTACACTCATTCCCCAGGTAATCCCATCCATTCTCCGTGCTTTCAATTCCACCTTCTTGCCAATTTTATATCTTGCCAAATTTATATCTCAAGCATGTCCTCTCAACTCCAGATCCAAATATTCAAGGACCTTCTTGGAGATCTCCTAGATCTCTCATACTTAAAGTATCCAAAACTGAGCTCTTAATATTCCCTCCTAAACCAGAGCCTCCTGTAGACTTCCCCATCTTATATACTAGGAACTCAATTCTTCTAATTGTTCAGGCCAAAAAGCTTGATTCCTCTCCTTTTCACACCTCCACATTTAATATGTCAGCTTTACTTTAAAATATATTCAACCACTGCTCATCTCTCCAGTCCAAGTGACAATCTCTTACCTAGATTACTTCACCAGCCTTCTAGTTAGTCTCCCCGGTTCTGCTCTCACCTCCTGCAATCTATTCTCAACAGCATCCAGGGAATCCACTGAAGACTTAAGTCAGATCTTGTCCTTTACTGAAAATCCCCAGAAGCTTCCCATCTCACCAGAGTAAAAGCAAAAGTCTTTACAATGATCTACAACATCCTACATTATCTGCCACTCCTCCATCTCAGCCCCCACCACTCTCTTGTTCACTCATGATGTTACATCCACAATGGCTTCCTATTTCTCACCAGGCACACTCCTGACGAGGTTCTGCCCCTCTTTCAGATATCCTTGTATCAAGCTCCCTCACTTCCTTTAGGTCTTTATTCAAAAGTCATCTGGTCACCTCCTCTAAATTTTCAACCCAAACAGTACCATTTTACATTTCCGTTCCCTGAGGCACTGTTTTTCCCTTAACATTTATCACCATCTAAAATACTATACATTTTACTTCTTTGTTTATAGTCTGACATGCATACCAGAATGTAAGCTCTACAAGGGCAGGAATTTGTTTCATAACCACCATCTCAAGTGCCAAGAACACTGCCTGGCATGTAGCTAGGCACTATAAGTATCTGAATGGATTATTAAATAATTTATGCTACTATACCCTCATCAGATATTATTATGTAGCCATTAGTTTTTTAATGAAAAGCTTGTAATGCCACAGAAAAACTGGCATCCTAATCCTTCTTACATCACTAATACATCAAAGTCTCTCTTGGAAAGCAGCACTGTATATATTTGAAGGACACATATGGGCCTGAAAATAATACAAATCAGAGCTGAAATCCTTGATTTTCACTCTTTTCTAGTAATGTGACAACTGGCATATTATTTCAGCTTTCTGAGCTTAGTTCTTCACTGAAAAACGACAGTTAAGAACCCACTCATAAGACTATTATAAGAATTAAGGGAGATGATGCATTCAAACGGCCCATCATATACTGTTGAATAAATCTGAGCCCCAATTCTAATATTTCACATTGATTGTTAAATATAATTCCTGGATAGCTTTGATAATATCTGTCATGTTTTCTTTCTTATGCCAGGCAGTAGATACACAAGTCTCTTTTACATTATTCTCTGGTCTCAGCCTATCTAAAATACTTCATAATTTTTGGGATAGGAAAAATATTCAACTTCTAGCTAAAAATCAGTTAGCATTTCTAACATTTGTAGGACTTTAGATCTCTATGTCCCAAAGCACAAATGCAAATGTGGAAATTAGATTATCAGTTTGTATGTCAGCCTTAAACAGAGTGAGGGGGATAAAGGTTTTTCTATTTTAAAGACTTGTGGGTTACCCTACTATAAGCTAGAATTTTAATATTTCTTACCTCCTCACCCTTAGGTGGAACATCAATAGATTGGAAGAAGATACTGATAAAGGTGTTTCTATTAACAAAAAATTTCACACAGTAAAATGTATGACTCTCCATATGAAGCCATATTATCATCCAAAACTTTCTATAACACTTTTAGAGAAGGGGTAGACAACACATAAGATTCACAATCTTGACCAGGGAGCTCGCTGACAGACATTAATTCTTAGAATAAAAGGTAACCACCCCAAAGATCTTAGAATTAAAGTAAAAATAAACACCATAAACACATCTTACAATATCATGGGCTGATTTTATACTTCCATATCAAAACATCAAATCATTTGATGGTCACACCATTTGCCTGTGTAAAGAATGGTACAAGACTTTCTCCCCAGAGGCTTTTGAGGAGGACCAAGGCAAGAAAGTAATAGTTTGACAGAATCCATTCCCGTAAAAGGGACCTGGGGGGAGTTGTGAGCAAGGAGGTGGTATTTCCCATTTTACAGCAAGGCTCAATTAACATATGACTGATTAACTGTAAATAAGATGGTCATCTGATCATCAGGTAACTTGCCAGATCCAAGTAAAAAATCAGACATATCAAAGCATAAAGTAAAAAACAGTGCAGTCACTCAATAAAAACTGTTTTGTTTTTGCCCTTTTTTGGGGGGTAAAAAAAAACCAAACCCATTCTCATCAAGTCAATACTGACTCATAGTGACCCTATAAAACAGATGAGAACTGCCCCATAGAGTTTCCAAGCAGTGGCTGGTGAATTCGAACTGCCAACATTTTGGTTAGCAGCTGATTTCTTAACCACTCACCAGGGCAGATGGGGTAAAGAAAGAGATGAAATGATACAAGAATAAGGAAGAACTATGTGGAAACAAAATTATAAAAAAAGGAACAGACTACCTTTGAAATAAGCATAATTTATTTACCCGATATGTTTCACTAACTTTAATTCTTTCTTTCCAGATTCTTCTCTATAAATAATTTTATACCATCTGTGTTTGCCTGAGACACATGGAGCTGGTATTCTAAAGTTTTGTAAAATATATGAACTATGACTTTTTAAAAATATTTTTAAAAAATGAAGTGTTTTTAAAAAATTGCAAATATAGGTTAAAATCTGCTAAAGAGCTTTTCGAAAATGCCTTTTGGTGTTTCTATATCCATGTGACTTAATTTTAGAAGACACTTCTTCAAAAGCAAGGGTTATTCATATAACTGTGATTTTTTTTTTTTTTTAAATAACACAGTATGGTGAAATGGACAGGATGGCTTCCCCATCCTCAGATTCTTGATTTGCAGTTCCCAATACTCACAGTGTGCAATAACCCATACTCTTGCCTCACTCATCAGGATTACGTACTTTTTACATTCAGTAGGTTGAAGTGCAGGGTATAATTTAATATAACCCTTACTCATGGTACCTAAAAGAAAAGCAAGTAGTAGAGCAGCAACTGGATGACAGGATTAAAAAAAAGGGGGAGAGTAGAGAAAAACATCCACAAAATATCTTTTCCCTCTCTCAAAAACGTAGAAGTATCTATTTCCATTTGACAGGGAATAGATGACAGAGATGGGAATGAAAACACCTAGAAAAGAGCAGCCATAGTTTATGAGAAAGAGGTCACATATGCAAATAAGAGAGATGATCTCCCACAAGGCCTTTGAGGAGGACAAAGGAAGAAAGGGTACTAGTTTAACAGAACTCATTCACTTGTAAAAGGGACCTGCGGGGTCTAAATAAGAAAGTGGTATTTAATAACAGAGTTCAATTAATACATTGTTAATTAATTGTAAATAAGGTGGTCCTCTGGTGTCTTGTCAGGTCCAAGTCAAAAATCAGAAATACTCAAACACAAAGTAAAAAAAAACTGAAGTTACTCAATAAAAATTATTTTTTGTTTTTATTTCTGTGAGGGGGATAAAGCGATGAAAAGAAACTGGATCAGCCTGTCACTAGGTTCCTTGACTAAGCCATGCTCCTGCTCATCATCGCCATCCTGCAATAGCAGCATAAAAGCAAATATAACTTTCCTTAAGTTCCACCTCTCAATGGCTCCAAAAGACCCTTAACTTAAGGATTCCTTGGCCTACCAGTAAAACCAAAGCAGATGCTATCAAGTCAATTTCGACTCATAGCAACCCTACAGAACAGAGTAGAACTGCCACATAGGGTTTCCAAGGAGTGGCTGGTGGATTCAAACTGCTGACCTTTTGGTTAGCAGCTGAGCTCTTAACCACTGCGCCCACAGCGGGTACAAGTAAGAATTTTAAGGTACATATGGAATTGTTACGCCTTTCAAGTTGAAAATGTACCTGTTTCTCTGGAGGGAAGTAGTTCAAAAGTATAATCCTTGCTTAGAGAAGAGAAAACTGAATTAGTCAAAGCTCCTTGCAGTTCTAAGGCAGCCATAATTAGTTCTAGTGTAATGATTTGCTCTATTTGGTCTGCCTCAGATTATACTGCAGTGTCTCAGCACAGACCCTGTTACAGATTACCTTCTCTGCCACTTTTTAATTATGTTAAAAACCATGAAAGTATTTTTTTCTAATGACCCCTCAACAAACCTGGAAAAAGGAAAGAGCTGCTCTCTTTGACACTAGGATGAGTCACTTTGGTCACATTATTCTGGTTTTTGAAACGTACATTTTAAACTATAATTTAGTGGAATGGTAAATAAATATAATAAATACAAACAAAACTTCATTGCTAATTTTACTGCAGATAGGTAACAATGTATCAATACAACTTAACATCCTATTGCCAAATAACTGACTTCGATCAATTTATCTTTAGCACTTTCAAAAGGTCTGAGATGCTTACTTTAATTTCAACTTGCTCTTCCATTTCTTTAGTTTTTATTGTAGTGTATTCCTTTTCAAGCCTAAGAAGGAAAAATAAAGAGTTAAAGGTATGTTTTCATTTAAAAGCAGTTTTTAAATTATACATTTTAAAAATAATATACAGTAAAATCTGTGAAAGTCAGAACATGTGTAAGGCAGAAACCTGTCAGAGAAGGAAAACTCAAATATTTTCCACTAATAGAGAGCGATAAAAAGTGGTAAGACTTCACCCTGTCAAAGGCGGAACTTCCAAGACTCACAAAAACAAGGCAGTCCCACTGAGTTCCAGCTCTCACAGGTTTCACTTTATTAACACACAGAAAACATAATTTCTTTAGGTTACCCCAACTTATAATGTTAGACACTCATTATGAGACATAGCATGTGAATAAAGAGTTACAAGAGTTCTTATAAAAAATTACTTCATAAATGATAAAAGTAAGAACCATACAAAAGCAAAGTTTAGAAATTGGACACCAAACACAGGACTGAGTTTACAGATTCTATTCAACCCTGGACTTAGAAAAGAACCACCCATCCTTCCCTATCAAATTAAAACACATCTGTTCAGTTCAACTGGCTCTTATCCAGTTGACTTTAAAAAATATATAATAGAGAAGAAGGAACAACCATTCCTTACAGAAGAGTTCCAATTAATAAACAAAAAAAGGATGACCTTAATAGAAAAATCACCACTAGAATTCCACAATAATAACTTCTGCAAATACCACCAATGGGTGCTAACATAAGTGGGCCAAAGTTTAAGCATAGTCTCTAAGTATCTCTCTCAAAATATTTAGTAGTTACAAAGGGGAAAATACTAAGTTTACAGTACAGAATCCTGGCAGAAAGCATTTGAGCCTACTGATAAAGATTAACATCACCAGTAACATATGCGGACATCGTGCACCCGCTATTATGATGCACTAAGAAGGGCACATCACCTCTTCAGCATCCTTCCCAACAATGCATAACCTCAATCTAATCAAGAGAAAACACCAAACAGACCCAAATTGAAGGATATTCTACAAAATAACTGACCAGTTCTCTTCAGAAGTGCCAAAATCATGAAAGATGAGAAAAAGCTAAGGGAACTGTCACTAATGGAAGAGTAAGGAGATATGGCAAACAAATGGAATGTACTATTGTTACAATTCTACTCTAAGTCTAAAACAAAACAAAAAGCCCCTCTGCCATCGAGTCAATTCCAGCTCATGGTAAGCCCATGTGGTAGAGAGCAGAACTGTTCCATAGGGTTTTCTTGCCTGAAATCTTTACAGAAGCAGATCATCAGGCCTTTCTCCCATGGTGCCACCAGGTGAATTCAAACCACCAACCTTTCAGTTAGTAGCCAAGCACAAACTGCTTACACCACCCAGGGACCTAAATTATCTTTTTAAAAAAGTTTACAACCCCACAAAAATTAGTACTACCATATTATTTTAATATCTTGCTCTCAATCAAGAAAGTTAATACCAAGTTTACTCCAAATATTAACCAGATCAGGGTCCAAATAAGTTTGAGCTGCTTCAAAGCTCAAATTCTTCCTCAAAGGACAAAAATCTGTCATGACGTACTTTTTCAGGTACTTTAAGTGCTTTCAAAATATACATAATCTCATTTAACTCACAGTAAAATAATAATCTATCTAGGTTGTTATGAAATTTGCCTAAGGTTACATCCTGTCTCTCACTATCCTATATCTAAAACAATACAAGATACAAAGACTCCAAAGAGTTGCAAAAGGTTTTAAACAATGGTTGCACTGCTGAAGTTTATAGCCTTCCCAAATGACTACTCTGAAGTAGACATCTTGTTGTTTATCATGCGATAAATGTTACCATCACTCATTTGTGCACCTAAAACACTAGAAGTCATCATTTAATCACCTCCTTCCAATTCAGTCACCAAGCACGTCCAATTCAATCTCCTTAACACTGCTCTAATCCATTATTACTTCTCTATCTCCACTGATAGTGTCTTTAAATAAACTTTATTTCTTAGAATAGTTTCAGATTCACAGAAAAACCACCTTGTTGCCCTAAAATTAAGGGAATTCTTAAAGAATCATGGGCACACGTGAAAAGGACACAGCAGCAAGTTCGAAGGGGCTCCCACTGGACAAATCAGGGACAATTTGATAGTAATGAGTTATAATCCACTGCATAAAGTAAGAATCCATGAATTTACATTGCTATAAGTAAATAATAAATGAAGAAAAAGGGAAAGCTCTTCCTTACAGTAGAATGACAAGTAATAAAGAAGGATGATGGAGTGAGAAAATCATAAATGGATATAAAACTTGTGAAGGAAAGTTTGATAAGCAGGATATTATATAACCTCAAAGTCTCTCACCATACATTACTTACTAACTGCAAAAGAAAAAATAGTAACTTTATAGTAGTGAAACCTGGCAGACATCACCTTAACCAAGTAATCAAAGCTAAACTAACATCAATTTTGAGACAAACCAGTATCGTATACCTGTCATATGATGTACTCAGAAGACACAATATCCATTGCTATGTTTGCCAAAAATGCACAAACTGAATCTATTCATCAGGAAACCTCAGAAAAACTAGAACTGCAGGATTTTCTACAAAATAACTGGCCTTTACTCTTAAAGATCAAAAAACACAAAGGATAAAGAAGTGTTTCAGATTAAAGGAGATCCAACTGATAAGACAATTAAAAGTAATGCATAATCCTGGCCTGGATCCTGAACCAGGGGGAAAAATACTATAAACGATATTATTGAGAAAAAATGATAAAATTTGAATACAGCTGTGGATTAGATAATAGTATTTTATCTAGGATAATTTCCTTATTTTGACAACTACTAGGTTTACGGTTTAAAAAAAAAGTCCTTGTTCTTAGGAAATACATATTCAAGTATTTAAGGATAAAGGACACAATGTCTCCAACTTACTCTAGAATGATTCCCAACAAGAGGAGGTATGTATTTTACCTATACACATACGTACATATACACAAACATCATCATTTACACATATGGGGGCAGAGAATAATAAAGTATATGGGGCAAAATGAAAACAATTGGTGAATCTGGGTAAAGGGTATATGGGAGTCCCTTACTATATTTGTAACTTTTTCATAACTTCAAAAGCACACTAAAATAAAAACTTAAACAAAAAAGTCAAAGGCTAAGACTGATCTCTTGCAACTTACATGTCTTAAAGGAACCTCTGAGCCCATGTACATACTACCCTTCTGCCTAAAATGCCCTCCTTCTCTTCATCTGGCCAACCTCTACTTACCCTTCTAGACAGCAAAAAGAGTGAAACTTTTAAAATCAAATCATTTCACTTTTGTCAAAACTCTCTAATCATTGCCCCTCAGACTTAGAATAAAGGCTGGCCTATGGTGTCCAGTAGAACTTTTTTGGCAATTTTGAAAATGTTCTCTATCCATGCTAATACCGAGCACATGAAATGTGCTTAATGTAACTGAGGAAGTAATTTTTAATTGCATTTAATTTAAATAATCACACGGGGCCAGCAGTTACCATACTGGACAGCACAGCTTTAAACCTCTCTAACTCGCCACCACATCTCTGACCTCACTGCCCACCAGACTCCTATTTGTCTGTGCTATTCCAGCCACACTCACTTTCTTGCTGTTCCTTGAACATATCAATCACATTCCTCCCTTAGCCTTTATGCCTACTATTCACTCAGCATGGAATACACTTTCTCCAATAATCACATGGCTTCCTCTCTACTTCTTTAGGTGTTTGTTCAAGCGGTAACTTACCAGCAAGACCTTGTCTGACTGCCCTATCTAAAAATAGCACCCCATCACTCTCTGTCCCTTCATCCTGCTTTACTTTTCTTTGTGGCACTTTCACTGATGGAAATTATACTTTATATAAAATCTCTGTCAGTCTTCTGCACTGCTGTAAGTTCCACAACAGCAGGGACTTTCTGTTGTAGTCATCATTTAACTCCAGGAATTACTATAAACAGTACTCCGTAAGTTTGTCAAAACTGTACTAAGGTGTCATCCTGTTCAGAAAACAATCTGAATTTTCATTCTCTGCCATCTTCCTACGCTACCATGTCAGTGGCCCTGAAATTTTTCTGCTCACATACCCACTTAAAGAATGTCTCCTCTTAAACATTTTAAAGAAGACTTCTAAATTTTTTTCACCTGAAGTGTACGTAGTTGCAAAGCATATAATTTACATGTGCTCTGAAATTTTTGCACTGAAACTTTAAATGAGACTAATCTCATTTAATTTATGGAACATCTACCCTATAACCTGATTGGCAGAACTAGTCATTACTATTAACTCAATGATTCAAAGTGTATTTACTTTCTGTCATTAAAATCTGCCTTCAATTTTCAAATCAAACATGTTAATACTTGCCCCTGTGATCACCATTCTACCATCTCTTAACTCCAATTCTGAGAAGGACAGGCAGCCTTGCCAAGTGTTGGTCAGCTGTATGAAGTAAAGAGCCACTTCCTTCAATTTTTCTTGCTTTGCTCTCTCAGAGGACAGTCCTTCAGGAGCAATGCATTCTGGAATTGTCCCTTTTGTTTGGTGCCTCACAGTTTTTCACATATCAAAGTAATGAATGTATCATAGTAAGATTTGGGGTGGGTAACAGGTATGTCCTCCCTTTATAAAGTGGGAGAAGGCAGCTTGTGAAAGAAGGGATAGAAAGGAGAACCAAGCCATCGCTACCATAGGAATGTTATGGCAGATAAATTTTAGGAAAGAATACAGATAAAAATGGAAAATCTAGTCACCATGCTGTAGAATGTTTTTCTGACCCTCAGCAAGCTATGTACACCGCTTTAAAGACATATGGATTAGGTATCTTTCTTACGTGTTACATTAAATTAATAATCTATGGTATTAGCATTTACCACACTATAATAAGCTATTTACTTCTCTGTTCTGCAACCTTCCAACCTACAGGAAGCTCAAACTTTTCTTCAAAGCCAGGTCCAAGTCTTCATTTGTGACATAGTCCAAGAGCATTACTTAGTAGAAATGGAAGAGACTCATTTTTTAATACTGGCAAATGACTACTATCCAGAATATACATAAACAACTACTAATCAATAAGAAGTAGTCAATGTAATAAGTAGACAATGTAATAGAAAATGGAGGAAAGAAAAAAAAAAAACAACAGAAAACACTCAAGGCCAATAAACACAAGCTTCACCATTTTACATTCCCACCAGCAATGGATAAGGTTGCCAATTTCTTCATATCTTCATCAACACTTGTTATTTTCCATTTTTCTAATAGTCATCCTAGTGGGGGTGAAGTGGTATTTCACTGCGGTTTTGATTTGCATTTCCCTAATGACTAAAGACATTGAGCATCTTTCCATGTGTCTATTGGATTTGTATGTCTTCTTTGGTGAAACGCCTATTCAAGTCTTTTGTCCATTTTTTGACTGAGTTGTTTGTCTTTCTGTTGTTGAGGTGTAGGAATTCTTTATATATATCCTGGATATTTAACCCTTATCAGATATCTAGTTCCCCCAAATTTTCTCCCATTCTGTAGGCTGTGTCTTTACTTTCTAGATAAAGCCCTTTGATGCACAAAAATTTTTAATTTTGATAAAGTCCAGTTTATCTATTTTGTCTTTTGTTGCTAGTGTGAAGATTCCATTGCTGAAAACTAGGTCCCAAAGCACTACTCCTGTGTTTCGTTTTGAGTGTTTCATGGTTTTAGCAACAATTATGGGTGGTGGCTGCACAAGAGTTAATTTTTAAATCTGGTGTGAAGTATGGGTCCAACTTCATTCTTTTGCATGTGAAGATCCATTTGTCCCAGCACCAGTTACTGAAGAGACTATTCTTTCCCCACTGGATGGACTTAGCACCCTTGTCACAAAATCAATTGGCCATAGATACACAGGTTTATTTCTTGACTCTCAATGTTATTCCATTGATCTATATGTCTATTGTTATAGCAGCACCACACTACTTAGATTACTGTAGCTTTGTAATACTTACTTTTTCATTTTTTTTGAGTTGTATTTGACTTGGTAAGCTGCCTGGATTAATCTGTCTGTACCACCATCAAACTGATGTGGAATGACCTTCTGAAAGTGCTAAGATACAATAAAAGAAAAACATAAGAACTATTTAGTGCCCATTATTATTAAGTGATTAACAGTCAAAACTAAAGGCATTCAAGAAATCATGAACTGACTTACCTGCAACATCCCTTCCATGTCAAGTTGCATTAGTTCTGCCTGATTCATTTGAAGGAGTGCTAATCCTACTCGAAACACTATTTCTAAGCCCTGAGGAAACAAATTATATAAATCTAAATTTGTCTTACTCTTCCTCAACAAAAACCGATCATTCAAAATAGTATTAAGGTAAACATTTAGGGATTTTAACTAGGAATCAGCAAACATCTTCTGTAAAGAGTCAAACAGTAAATACCTTAGGCTTTGCAGGCCATATGGTATCTGTAACAACTACTCAGCTTAGCTGTTAAAGCCCTAGAGCTGACACAGACAACACAAAAGCGAACGGGAGTGGCTGTGTTCCAAGAAAACTTTATTTACAAAAACAGGCAGCAAGACAGATCTGGCACACAAACCATAGTCTGGCAACTCCTATCTAAAATAATCTAACTAGGTAATATAAATTAATCTTCCCAAGATGTTATTAATAACATTAACACTGGGTTCAGAAAATAAAGATCACGACTATGTGTCACTGACAATTAAAAGGACTACCTAGAATGTGTTCAGAGAATAAAAGCAGCTCAGTTTTACTCATGTATTACACTTCTTGCCTTGAGTAACAGATGTGTTGCAACAATATTAACTGTAAGGCAAATTTTACCTTTCACTAACTCTCAGTATATCAATCAGGAGGTAATACAGAGGTTTGATTAAGAGTGTGGGTGCCAGAACTTGACTGCCTACATTTCAATCCTGGTTACTTACTATACCATTTATGTACTGTGTATTCACAGACATGCTACTTAACCTTTCTCTCACCCTCAGTCGTTTCCTCATCTATCATCCAGCCAATGTAATAACAGTATCTACCTGATAGGGTTCTTATAAGCTTTAAAGGAAATTATCCATGTAAGCAGCTTAGCATGGGACACATGGGTCTCCCTTAATATTTCCCTCATTGCCCTGGCTCTAATTAACCCAATGATCTCTTTACTCAGCTCTTACTACTAGTTTATCATTGTTGTTGTAAGCTGCCGTTGAGTCAATTCTGACTCACAATGACCCCGTGTGTCAGAGCAGAACTGCTCATAGGGTCATGGCCGTGACCTTTTGGAAGCAGATCACCAGGCCTGTCTTCCAAGGTGCCTCTGGGTGGGTTTGATTTGCCAACCTTTCAGCTTGTAGTTGAGTGCTTAGCCACATGCGCCACCCAGGGACTCCTAGTCTACCCATTAGCTTACCTCAGACATAAAGATATCAAATATCCTTGTCGCAATTGGTAGTGGAAAAGTTGTAAGAAAGATAGTCAGAAACCAGGATGATGCATACATTGAGGTATGAAAACTCTGAGATTGAAAGTGTACAAAGAGCTCTGGAAGATGCTCCTAAAGAGAAGAAAAGAAATAGTTAAAACATAATATTGAGCGTTTTAAATTAGATTGTTGTATATGCACTAGAATTAGCCTATACCAGACACAAAGAATGGGAATTGTGAAAAAGCTGAGATGTAGAAACTGATACATTCAGAATAGTGGTTACTATCAGGGAAGGGAACGATATGGAGTTGGAACTTTGGCTGTGTGTGTAACATCTATTAATAAAAAGAAAAAATTGAAATAATAAGTAAAATTTTTACATTTGTTTAATTTTGTTAGTGAGTACGTGGGTGTCTGTCATTTTCTATCGTCTTAAACTATTTCACCAAAAAATGTTCTTAATTTTATTGTGCTTTAGGTGAAAATTTACAGTGCAAATGAGTTTCTCATTCAAAAATTTATACACAAATTGTTTTGTGACATTGGTTGCAATCCCTGCAAATGTGTCAGCACTCTCCTCTTTCCAGCCCGGGTTTCTTGTTTCCATGCGTCCAGTTTTCTGTCCCTTCCTGCCTTCTCGTCTTTGCTTTTGGGCAGGTGTTGCTGATTTGGTCTTGTATACCTGACTGAACTAAGAAGCATGTTCCTCATGTGTGTTACTGTTTGTTCACGATTTTTTTAAAAAGAAAAGAAATGCTATGTTGAAATACTTCCAGGTGCTAGCTAACATTGATCACCTATTCTTTCCCTCTACCTTCTCACCCAAAATACAAATGCTTCAGCAACTCTAGTAATTCAAAACATAAATAACAAATTAACTGACAATATAACACCAAGAAAGTTTAAGATTGACAAAAACAGGCCTACTATCTCAGAAAAAGGAAAAAATGTAATTAAGAATCATCTCAAGACCTACTTTGGCTTTTTCTTTAAAATGTAAAATATCTGCACAGCCCCTTCCCTCCACCAGACACAGAAAAGACTGAGGTGCTTATAATTCCTGTGGGTTAGGTTTTTTAGGGAAAAAAGATTCATAAAAATGGCTCTCATGCCTGCTGAAGCATTAACCTGTATTTTTGAAGAATTCTGCTCATCTAACTGAAATTTAAGTAAATGAAAATAGTTACACCATTATAGGGCAATATAGTGAACTTACTTCATATAAAAATTAAACCTTTCATATAAAAATTAAACCTAGAAAGGTAAAATAGTTCCAAGGTATTGTTCACTTAATTTTGATTACTCCACCATCACACTAGCAACATAAAAGAGAGATAAAAAGGGAAAGACAGGTGAGAGGATTGAAAGAGGCAGAAAAGACAAAGCAAATGGACTGATGACAGTGTCACAGTGTCGTGGCACCAGTAACAGAGCTTAGACTCTTCAACAGAGTAACAGGACATAATAACATGTAATAAAAAGACCTATACACTTAGGTAATGGGGTTAGGGTACATTGGGCACAAATGCATAAGGTCTGAAGATGAAAATTACAGTCAAGTTCTAAATTGTGATGCACCCGTAAATAGCTCCTAACTTGGAAGAGTAGGTCTAATTGTGTGCCGAGTGACCAAAAACTAATCATGTGAGTAGACTAAAACACTGATTTTTCAGTTCTTTTAATGCTTTTAACATGAAATTTGCTTAACTGTCACTTAAACCAAGATGAAAAAACATATATACAGACAATAGGCCTTTCTGTTAACACTACACATTTACCTGTATCATGCATTCAAACTGGTACATACAAAGGCCCAACTCTGCCATACTCGGTTTAAAAAGTTCACGGAGTCTATAATCTTGCATTAATTTAACAAATACGCAGAAAGCTTCTTCTTCTGGCATCTACATTAGGTGGAAAAAAAAGAAAAGCAACACAGCTTAATGTTCTGTGATATACAAATAAGCCAAATTATATTTAAACCAAATACCCATCCAACATAAATACTGTTCTGAGTGGCCATGTGATGTAACTCTATCACGGAGAATGAGAAGTTAGACAAACAAGTCTAATAACCTCTGAGAACCTCTGAGACTGTGTCACTGGCCTCATTCACTAATCCAACTAATGAATTAATACTCATTTAGAATCTGATACTCCTCTCTCTCTGGATATACAGCAATGAACAAAATAAACAGTCTCTACCCTCAAGGAGCTTTTGAACTTCCTAGTAGAGGAAGATAGCCAATAAATCAATTAATGCCAGATGGTGATAACTGCTTTGGAAATAAAATAAAGCAGGGTAATAGGGAGTGCTGGGAGAATACACTGCTATTTATGTAGGGATGTCAGGCAAAGTCCCTTTATATGGTAACAGCTGAGCAGAATCCTGAAGGAAGTAAGGGACTGAGCCATTCAGGTATCTGAAAAAAAGAGTCCTGGAAGAGAGAAGAGTACAAGGGCCCTTGATACTTGGCCTGCTCAAGTAACAGCAAATAGAGGGGCTACTAAATGAGGGGTGATGTCATGAGAGGAGGTTAGAGAAATAACAGGGAGCCAAATTACAAAGAAGTCACTGTAAGGATTTTGACTTTTATCTTAAGTGAGATGGGAAACCTTTTGAGGGTTCTGAACACAGAAGTGATATAATACGGCATAAATGTTAAAAGAACTTTTCAAAGAACCTTTAACTGGGGTTTAAAGGTACCAATTTCATACTTTATGTGTAACTCACTAGGAAATTATCAAGTAAGATAATGAGTATAAAAGCTCCTTGTAAAAAGTTACACAGATATTCAGAATATTTAGGCAAATAACATTTATCCAAATTGTTAAGCCATCTTTCTCAAAATAATAAAATCTGCTAATGCTCATTCACTCACGTTATACCAGTGAGCTTCAAAAGAGGACACCCCAAAGGATCTCTAGGCATTCCTCTTACTGAAGACTGCTTTTAATAATAACACCCTTTTCCTGGCCTTGACACAGCAGACAGGAGTTCAGAATTACTCTTGACAAAACTCCTACTTCCTTCCTTCCTCCCAACACTCATAGCCACACTTCTGCCTTGGAAACCACTACTATTAATCCTATCAAGCCCTACAGCCCCACTGATTTACATCAGTCACTACAAGAAGCCCAAGATCCTAGAACTCTCATCCCATGTGGTTCTACTGCTTCCCTATTTCCAACTCTCTCTAAACTTTTCGATAACTTTCGGGAACCATAATCTGCCAATAACAAAATATCCTACACCCTCAACCTCTTTTCTAAATGTTCCTTTCACTTTATTCCTTTAACTGAAATCTATCTCTTTCCTAAGTATACTGAAACGCCAAAAGCTGCCTCTCCCCTAACTAAAGTGGCTGTTTTCTCTCTCACAGCACTAGAAGGGGTCAAGGGGTGCAGAGCTATGTGTCCTCTTTGAACTTCATTGCCACTTTCACATCATTTACCCTCCCTTCTCGATGAAACACATGCCAAGACATATTACCCACTACCCCTTTTTTGTAGCCTCTACAAACCTCTCCCAAATATTTTTGTGAAGATTAATTCTCTGGCCTAGCAGATCTTTGACTTCCTTTCCTCCGATCATCTTAGTAGGCAGTTACTTGCTCAGGCTCTGGAGCCACACCACCTAAGGTTCAAATCCCAGCTTCTCCACTTAACAGCTATGTGACCTTGGCAAGTTAACCTCCCTGTTCCTCAGTTTTACCATCTATTAAATGGGCAAAATAATAGCACCTATTTCACAGAGTTGTAATGAAGATTAATACACATAAAGTATTTACAATTACCTCACTCGACTATGCCTACAATTCATTTTATACTACACTATCTGTTCTCTATTCCCAGCTCCCTCTTGTCCTCACGTTGCTCCTCACCCTATTACATTTATTCACTTGCTTAAATCCACAATTACTTTTCCTTCTCTCTCCCTCTATTGTAACTTCAACAGCCAAAACTCTACCCTTGGATAAATCTAACTCCACACCTACATCTAGGAAGCAGAAAGTGTCTGAGGAAAAAACAAAGAACACTTAATTCTGCTGCCTGGTCTCACTTGGAGTTCATGACCACTATTCTCGATGGGTCCTTAATGCGGTCTGGTGTATTGTATTTCCCTAATTCAATCACTCTTATTTTTCTATATCAACATTTCAAACTTTCTTCTCAGTCCTAAATCCTCCAACACCTCTTACCTGTTCCTCACTCTAAACGAATGACCATGTTTCCTATTTCAATTAAAAAAAAAAAGAGAGAGGCAATTAGAAGAGAATTTCCTTATTCTATAAACCACCACATCTACTACCCTACTTGCACCTGTACCCATTTTTTCCACCTTCAGTTACAATGGATGAACAGTTCATTCTCCTAAGTAAGGTCAACCCTTTTACTTGGACCCTTGACCTGATACCCTCCTATAATCTCTCTTTTCTATCAGTCTGGCTCTTTCTCATATTAAACTATGAATCCTTATCTCATATTTTCAACTACCCTTTTAGCATCTCTACCTGGATGTGCAACAGACATCTCAAATTTAGCGTGTCCAAAACTATCCTCCTAATTTCTTACCATGACAGTCCCTGCTCTAAACATCCTCTCAAAAACCCTAAAAGTCATCACTGACATTTTTTCTCTTTTACTACACATCCAATCTATCAGCACATCCTGTTGGCCCTATATTAAAAATATTTCAAGAATCAACCACTTCTCACCACAGACACCTAGTCCAAACCACCATTATCTCCTGTCACTCCATTGCTTTGCTTGTACTTCCTTCCCAACAGTTATTCTCCATAAAGCTTGAAGCTGCCAAAATTATCATTTCAATCTATGAATTAGATCATGTCATTCCAACACTCAAAACTCTCTAGTGGCTTCTCATATCCTCAAAGAAAGCCAAAATCCTTACAAAGTCCTACATGATGTGATCCCTCACTACCTCTCTAACCTCAGCTCCCACTCCCTCCCCATCTCTACCTCTTCCCTGTACCACGCCACTTCAGTAAAAGTGGGAATGAATCAGTTAACCTCTCCTTTTTGTCTTACAAGAATTTCTTCTCATCTGGACATTAAAAAAAAAAGTTTCATTCTCTCTCTCTTTTGTAATAGCATTGATATGGGCTATCAACTGGGGGACGGGGTTTAAAAATGACTATTTTAAAAAATAAGTAGAGGTGATTTGATAAAAGGGCAAAAGGGGGGAGGAAAAAAGACTACTGGATCCTTCTCAAAAAGATTGAAACAATGGTCACAAAATGAAAAAGTGTGACATCAAGTGAGATATGTAAGTATGAAAAACACCACCCAGTTGTTTTATGTTATGTTGTTGTTATTTGTTGCTGTCGAGTAAATTCCAACTCATGGCGATCCCACACGTGTAGAGCAAAACTGCTCCATAGGGTTTTCAAGACTGTGACCTTTTGGAAGCAGATTGCCAGGCCTTTCTTCTGAAGCACCTCTGGGTGGGTTCAAATCGCCAACCGCTCAGCTAGCAGTCAAGTGTTTAACTGTCTGCACCGCTCCTAGCTGTTTTAAGGTCACTCCTTTCTATTAGAAAGAAATCAGGACATTCGAGTCCTACTTTCTCTACATACTTTCTCTGCAACTTTGAGCTAATAATCCATGTCTTTTGCAAACGTCTAATGTGGAAAATACATACCTAACTTTATCGAAGTACTAAGATAAACACAAAACATATGTATCCAGCACTTTCTTCAAAAGAAATGACTACTTTAACATAACATATATTAAATAACCTAGCTTTGCAACTTTTTTTTTTCCTTGCCTCCTCCCACGCCAACTTCCTTTTGTTATCATTTGCATTCTGCTAAGAAATACTTTTAACAGTTGCTAAAGCCAGACATAATCGGGAGGGGGAATTTTCAGTGGAAAATGAAAAGAGGTCTTATAGCTGCATTTCAAGGCTAAAACATCTGGAATTTTCCTTTCTTGTGGTCCTGAGGCAGGCGTGTGTCCCGTCAGCAGAGATGAGGAGGAGCAAGGCTGTTGGTTCTCAAAGATCAGCCTGAGGGCAGGTGGGGGAGGGAGGTGACTCCAGGCAGCTAGTCCTGAGTTTTGCTTCTTCTTTTTTATTTTTTATTTTTAATACTGTGTTTTTGGAAAAAATTTACGTAGCAAATCAGGTTCTCATTTAACAATCTGTATACATATTATTCAGTAACATTGGTTACACTTTTCACAATGTGTCAGCATTCTTTAAAACTTAAACTAAAAATATCCCCTGAAGTCTTCTTAAAACCAAACAATCGCTTAGCTATACTAGTTAAAAATGGCTGTCTTGAGCATTATGGTCTTTTAAGAACTGTCTATATGGGATCAAAGTGAAAACAGCAACTCGAAAAATTAGACAGGAAACTTAAGGGGCAGTGAGTTTATGTTAATGGCGGAGGAACATCTCAGAAAGGAAGGTGAGAATGGCTGCACAACTCAAAGAATGTAATCAATGTCACTGAATTGTACCTGTAAAAAAGGCTGAATTGATGTATGTTTTGCTGCGCATATTCTCAACAAACAACAAAATAAAACTAAAAAAATCTAGTTTTGTTTTTATTGTTTATAACCTAAGTTGACTTAAAAATGGACAAACATCCAACAACAACCACTGGGAACGGTTCTTACGTTATAACATCAGTCAGCGTATCTCTGACATCAGGTTTACTTGATACTTCAGAAAAGAGGTGTGTGTGTTCTGACATTTACAGAGCTTTGAAATCAAGTAAAGCTGTTAGGAAATTGAAGCAAAGCATCAGAAAACAGTTTTTGACTCCGTTTTTATCTACCAATATTTACGGTATCTTGGGAAAGTCACTGAATTTTTATTGGATATCCACTACGTGCCGAACACCATGATAGGTTTTTTACATATATTATCTCATGTAACCCTCACAACAAATCTGAAGAGTAGATGTTGTTACTGTTGTGTGTAATCAAGTTGATTCCGACTCACAGCAAACCCATATGACAGACTAGAACTGCCCCATAGGGTTTCCTAGGCTGTAATCTTTATGGGAGCAGATTCTCAGTCAGGACTTTTCTCCTGTGGAGCGGTTGGTGGGTTCGAACCTCTGACCTTTAGGTTGGCAGCCGAGCACTTAGCCACTGTGCCACCCAGTAGATAGTATTTTCTATGAGGTTCAGAGAGATGTTAAATAATCTAGCCCAAGCTCATAGAGCTAGTGCAGAACTGAAATTCAAAAACCAGCCTATATGACTTAAATTATCCCCTAGGTTCCTTTTCAGGACTAAAATCCTTAAACTAAATACAGATTATGATTGACTTTTAAAAAAATTTCAACAAGGCTAAAGAGATAATGCTATATGCCATTTCACTTCAGAGCTATGACTGTCCTGTCCCTCAATTCGGAAAACATCCCACCAAAACCACTCCAAGTCACTGCTAATGGAAATACATCCTTGAGGCATTAAAAGTGGCTGAATACACTATTCTATAGAGTATAGCAATATATACATAACAAGCCCTCTGCTCCATGAAAAATAAAATTCCTACAATATAAATAAGATTTTTATACTATCACTTTAATCATGTCCTTCTTCTGGGAAGAGATTACTACTCATTAAATGTTGATAAATAAGATTTAAAAGCAAATGCAGGATTTAGCAGAATATTATAGCCCAAACTAGACCAAAAGGTTGAAACTTCATTTGGTGGCAGAGTATTATTGCATATTATTTCCATACTTTTAAAATGAAAACTAAATGTCCTAGTGGCACAGTGGTTAAGAGCTCAGGCTGCTAACCAAAAGGTCAGCAGTTCGAATCCACCATCGGCTCCCTGGAAACCCATGGGGCAGTTCTACTCTGTTCTACAGGGTTGCCATGAGTCGGAATTGACTCACGGGGACAGTTTTGGGTTTACTGAAATTATGCCTAGGGAAAAATAACCAGTATCAATTATACTTAATAAAAACAAATCATGATTTTTAAATTCTCCAATCTAATTCAATAAAGAACTTAATTGGACATTTAATACTTGTATTAACTTACCTGCATAAGTAACAATCCAACTATAAAAGCACTTCCTTGACAGTAACCAACCTCACGATCCACTAAAGAATATGCCTACAAGGTAAAAAAAAAAAAAAAAAAAAAAGTTGTTCAAAATACATTGACATGGTATATTATACCTTCATTTTTTACAAACCTAATATTGTTGTAGCATGTGGATTAAAGACCATTCTTTTTTTAGAAGAGCTTTTGCTTGCTTGTTGTAAATAGGCCCATAAATATTTTAAAAGTAAATATTTTATTACTAAAATTTTCTTTTGACAATTTCCCAATTGGAAATTGCCAGCTCCTAAGGAGAAAAAAAAAAAGGAATACGGACTCAGGAAATTAATATAGCTTAAAAATCAAGTAAAATTTATACTGATAATGGGACTAATGAGGCACAGCAGTCCCGGGACAAGGGCTAGAAGGCAGAAGGGGACAGAAAAGCTGGTGATAGGGAACCCAAAGTTGAGTAAGGATATTGTTGATGTGTTGTGAGGTTGTTAACCATTGTCATAGGGCAACATGTGTACTGTTTAATGAGAAACTATTTTGTTCTGTAAACCTTCATCTGAAGTGAGAATAGCAGCACAATTGGAAGAGTGCAGTTGATGTCACTGAACCCTGCATGTAGAAATTTTTGAAATGGTGTATTATTGGCCATGTGTATTTTCACCAAAAAAAAAAGAAAAGGTCGAGAAGGGAGAGGGTTGACTTGTCGTGGGGTTGTTAACCAATGTCATAAAACAATATGTGTACTACTGTTTCATGAGAAACTATTTGTTCTGTGAACCTTCACCTGAAGTACAATAAAAAAAAAAATTTATACTGATAAAAGATAAAACTAGTATAGAATTAAGGTAAAGCATGGGCAAAATTAAAATAGCTTAACAGGAAATCAATATTTCCCAATACCTTCACAAAGGTAGCTGGATGGGAAAGAAACTATGGGAAAAGACAATATGGAAGGAAAAATTACAACAGTACACACTTTTAGAGACTACAATCTCTTAACAATGCTGGCCATAGCAAGCAGAAAAGTTTCCTGACAGCACAAATGCTGCCATGACAGGAGATGGTTGCATCCTAGATTTTCAATCTCATAGAAGGTTAATTATTGATTTTCATAGAGGATCTCTCTGTGGTATAGTGATTTATAATTTATTTTATCTCAGCCAACTCATGCTGAATAATGTGGTGAATTTTCTAACAAGTTCTCCAAACTAGACAGCAATGTAGCATCAGGATTTTTAATTTCTTCTTAAAATTATATAAGAGAAACTATGCTAAAGATAGATTTATTGTCAAAGCAACTGATTACTGGGGTGGGAGTTCATGCTTTATAACAGGAAATGTATAATTTCGATCTTTCAAAAATTCATTTCATTTGAAAAAAATAAATAGAACTTACCTTCATTACATTAAATAAAACCTCCTGTCCAAGGCTATCTTTTTCCTTAAAAAAGTTATGTTCAGGATAAGTTCTAGCAATGTCCCTTCGGATCAATTTTTCACAAGGTGAGGTCATTTTCAAGAGTTCTGAATACTGATCCTTAATTGGCATACTTTGTGCACTGCATAAAAGTTGCCAAACTATTGCTCTAAAGTGGTGGGGTATCCCTTTACGAACAAGTTCCTAAAAAAAAAAATAAAGGCAAAAATTTTTAATAAATTATTAAGGTCTCCTACCATAAAAGTCTTATTGGAGGTTGGAATGGAGGGAAGACTTTATCAACTTTATGTTTCACAAAGCTGGTATTATGTATTTACAACAAGAGTAGGGAACCTTTTAACCAAGGCTAAGATTTGGCCCTTGGATGTATCCTGTTCTGATCAGAGAGGCTGCAAAGTTGTGGATAAATTCTGGTCATTTCACTCAGAGTGTGGCCTCCAAAGGTGTAAGGACTGGCTAACCTGCAGAGCTGTGAAGGATGGTACAGTACCCATCACCTTTCAAAGGCCTATTGAAGCAAAAAGGGAAAATACTGATATTCAAGGATGGCACAGCTAAATCTATAAAATGAGGGAACTTAACTAATTTCTAAAATACTTTTCAGCTATATAATTCTACAATTTTAGGACCTCTGTAATAACTGATGAAGATACCTTGTAGAACAGTGGTTAAGCGATCAGCTGCTAACCAAAGGTCAGTGGTTCGAATCCACCAGCCGCTCCACAGGAGAAAGATGTGGCAGTCTGCTCCCATAAAGACTACAGCCTTGGAAACCCTATGGGGCAGTTCTACTTGATTCTACAGGGTTGCTATGAGTCAGAATTGACTCGACGGCAACGAAATTTATAATAACTGACTTCTACCGAACAAAATATCTACAGGCACAAACAAATGAAAACATATAAAGCAGACCTTTTTATCATATAGCTTGGAAATTACAGAATCTGATGCTTTTTTTCTAATCCTTGAATTAATTATCTATTAATCCATGCCTGATATCCTTTGGGATGAAGGAAAGAACTTCAACAAAGAACACGAGTACCTTAACTTGCTTTTCCTTCTTTTTGCGCACATCTTCCCATTCGTTAACAATTCTTCCCCAGAGAATCCAAGAATCTTCTTCGAGGTGGCTGAGGTTGCTAGAGGCTGATGAACTTGATACAAGAGAGGAGCCACTGTTTCTTCTTGACCCATTTACAGATCTTAACGACTTGCTATCCGTCTCTAACAATCTAAAACATAATTAAAAATTGCTGAAGACCTAATCTTACAGTAACACGAAATGAGGTAGTGATGACACACGTCTTACAACTTTGCTACAGCAATTTAGCCACTGTTTTAAAATACAGTTTTAATAATATGCATGATTTCAATAATTGTTAGTTGGCATCAATAAAATAACTACTGTATTTTTTCACCTAAGCACAGCAGTTTCAAAATTTGAAATAGCAAATTCTGTTAAATATTTTAGTACTATTAGCCCCATTATAATTTCTCTTTATCTTCATTGAAAATTCAAATTAGAAGGACCCTTCTGGTGAGAAAACTGCTTAGGAACACTGGTTTTTGCTTCATGCTCTAACCTGTACTTAGGAGAGGTACAACAAATTCTATGGAATAACTAATCTTATCATATTCACAATGTGTCCAGGCTAAATAAGTAAGGCACAGCCACACAAATTAACCAAATCCCTTTTCCTTTTGCTTCACTCATGTGTAACTTATCTGCCCAAACAAGTGTTCTGTTTGGCACACACAACATAAAACTCCTGAATATTACCACTATTTTAAAACTGGAAGATTTCATATATTTATTTATATACACATACACATGTATTTATTTATAATTCTGGATTGTCTTGAAAAATGAAAAATAGGGCAAAACTGGGCCCATATTTCTTCACAGCAACAACAGGGCAAAGCTGACTAGGGACTACTACTTTTAGATGGGGAAGGACTTTAATTGACTTGGTCTCCACATTCCCTTCTGCCTCCCCAAAACTCAGGCCGACCAATAGCTGCTACTTATCATTGGGCTTGCACTGTTAAACTGGGACGTCTTTGCTCTTAAAGTTCCCGCTGACCTTTGATTTCACAACTCTGTTTTAGGCTTCTTCCTTATCTATAGAAAGAGGTTAAGATAATTTTAAAGATCCATTCCATGACTCATCATGACACCAAACTCATTATTTCTTTGACACTTGCATAAGCTACACAGGAAGGTTGGAAAATGTGGCTCTATCACTATAAACTATACATCATTCAAATGACAAGGGTCGTAAAACATCTTTTTGTGTACTTAAACACGGCTACTGCCCACTTCCAGTAACTCCTTCATAAAAAGTCATCTGCTTAGAACGTAAGAAATGTTCCCAATACGTACTTATAAAATTTCAAAACTAAAAGAAACACATGGACCAAATACTATTTATCAGATTACAGAACCACCCTTTGATAGTCAGACTTACATCGTATTCATATAGTTACATCCCCGAAAACATTTGCTCAATGTAAAATACATTAAATATTAATTGAATAGAAATAAAATTAATATTGTCATATTAAAAATAAAACTTCCAAGGTGGGGCCAAGATGGCAGAGTAGTCAGACACTTCCTGTGGTCCCTCTTACAACAAATACCCAAAAAAACAAGTGTATCGATCATATATAACCATCTAGGAGACCAGAACATCAAAGACAAGGTTGAGGAATCGGATTGAGTGCCAGGGGGAGGGAGAGATGGTTCAGAAGCAGTGAGGAGTTGCCAGACCTGACCTGGCTGGCACCAGCACCCTGTAGGCTGGATCAGCTGGTGTGCATGGTGAGGTAAGCAGTGGCGCTCAGGATGAGTTTTCCACATCAGGAGAAACTGAGCAGCGGACAGTCTGCTCAAGCCTCCAGAATCAGTGAGAAATGGCGCTCAACCAGCAAAAGGTAAGTAAGTATATGCGTCTAACCTACCACACAGACAAAAAAAAAAGAAAAAAAACAAACAAACCCTGCCCTTTGGGAAGTACCTCTCTCCCATTTACCTGCCCCCTCCTCACTCTGCTCTGATACGGGTCTGGCTTCAGCGACTGCTGTACCCCCTGGGCCAGAAGTAGGACCCATCACATGCCCTGAGCCATTCTTCCAGCCTTGGAGAGGGAACAAATTAACAAACAGGAAAAAATAATCTGCCAGCTCCCCTAAGCCGGGAACTCAGGGCAGGCACAGCTCCTTTCCCTAGGCACAGGCATAAAGGATCCACAGACTCTGAATGCCTTTCACCCCTGCATAGACCTGTGTGGGCCCATTTCAACAGCACAGGCCCTCATTAGTACAGTACAATAGAGTACATACCTGAAGTCTATTTTCAACTGTATCAGCTATAAACGGGAGTGACAGAATCATGACATTTGACACCGCCCTGCCCATTAAGCAAAGTCCTCAACTACCCATATCAGGTACCCACCTAGCCACCCACGACAGGGATCCAAGAGTAAGTGGTGCCTCCCAGTCCTTACAGCCAACAGCACTGGGTGCCCATAGTCCAGATGCAAAACCAACCCACCTATGCACTCTAGGGAACAGAGACACGCCTTCCCCCCAGACAGTCAGGGGCAGTCGTCAGTCCCCTGCCTTGTTCAGCTTATGACCCCCTACTGCAGCCAGATACCTGTGCCTACTCCAATCACCCCAGCATGTCTAGGACTGTAGGTAAGAGCCTGCACCACACAATCGATGACCAATGACCTGGACACCTGAGCTGAATCCACACAAGAAAAGTAAATGGACTCCTGGGCTCACATATCTAGTAACAGCTCCAACTACCTGGTGACAGGATGCGAGGGCTTCAAAGATGCCAATAATCAAACTAGCTCACATGACCAGCCTATTTGGGCATATCAAAACAAAACAAGAAACTAGGACACAGTAAGCAAACATAAAATAAATAAATATAGTAACTTATCAATGGCTCGGAGACAACAATCAGTAACAAATCACATAAAGAGGCAGACCATGATGGCTTCAGCAAGCTCCCAAAATAAAGAATCAAGAAACCTTCTAGAGGAAGAGAACTTCTTGGAATTACTGGAGGTAGAATTCAAACTATTAATAATAATAATCTTAGGAAGGAGATCAGGCAAAACGCAGAACAAGCCAAGGAACACACAGACAAAGCAATAGAGGAAATTAAGAAGGTTATACAAGAGCATAATGACAAATTTAACAGGCTGCAAGAATCCTTAGAGAGAAAGCAAACAATCCAGAAGATTAACAATAATGGCTCAGAATTAGACAACTCAATAGAAAGTCATAGGAGCAGAACTGAGGCAGCAGAAGTCAGAATTAGTGCAATTGAAGATAAAGCACTTGACACCAACTTATCTGAGCAAAAATCAGATAAAAGAATTTTAAAAAATGAAGAAAGCCTAACAATTATATGGGACTCTATCAAGAGGAATAACCTATGAGTGACTGGAGTACCAGAATAGAGGGAGATAACAGAAAATATAGAGAGAATTGTTGAAGATTTGCTGGCAGAAAACTTCGCTGATATCGTGAAAGATAAGGAGATATCTATCCAAGAAGCTCATCGAACCCCACATAAGGTAGATCCCAAAAGAAAGTCACACACAAGACATATTATAATCAAACTTGCCAAAACCAAAGATAAAGAGAGAATTTTAAGAGCGGTAGGGATAAACGAAAAGTCATCTACAAAGGAGAGTCAATTAGAATAAGCTCGGACTACTCAGCAGAAAGCATGCAGGCAAGAAAGCAATGGGACGGCATATATAAAGCCTTGAAGGAAAAAAATTGCCAGCCAAGAATTATATATCCAGCAAAACTGTCTCTCAAATAGGATGGTGAAATTAGGGCATTTCCAGATAAACAGAAGTTTAGGGAATTTGTAAAACCCAAACCAAAATTACATAAAATACTAGAGGGAGCCCTCCGGTTAGAAAATCAATAACATCAGATAACAACCCAAGTCTAGAACACAGAACAGAACAACCAGACTATCAACCCAGATAGGGAAGTCATAAAAATAAATCAAAGTTAAAACACTGAAAATAGGGAAACAGAGACATCAATGTGTAAAAGATGTTAACATTAAAACTAAAAATACGGACTAAATAAGGTAGTCACTGATCTTTCATGTGGAAAAATAAAACTTCCAAATCCCAGATTTGTAATATTCAAGAACACAATAATATAAATTAAATAAAATCTGAGTTTTACTCATGGGATAATTTTATATATTTTCATGGCAACAATTATTCAAATAAAACTAAAATTTCTCAAATCTTGCTAGAAACATGAAAGTTTATAAAACAGCTAAAATAAAAATCAACTATTTGCTATACAAATATTCTTCATTTGAAGAAAAGAAATGAGGTTTTACTTTAATTCCCATTTTTTTCTACATTTTATTTCAGGAAGCCTGTATCTTAAAGAGAAATTAATGTATCTATATACTAACTTTCTATATAATCCTAAACCCTAAGAATTCTAAATGGAATAGAGAAACAAACTTTACTGAAATAATGAACCAGGACCTAAATTAAGGCGCCCCAGTGGCACAGTGTTTAAAGCGTTCGACTGCTAACCAAAAGATTAGCAGTTTGAAACCACCAGCGGGAGAAAGATGTGGTAGTCTTTACAGCCTTGGAAACCCTATGGGGTTGCTATGAGTCAGAATCGACTTGACAGCAGTGGGTTTTTGGTTTTTCTGGACCTAAGTTCCTTATTTCACTTAAATATTCACCGAATGCTTATTATATGCCAAATAATTAAGCTACATCATTTAGTCTCACCAGAGAGACATGAGGTTAAAAGAAAATAATGGTATTTACTAACACACACATAAATTTTGAGATATAATGGAAGTACAGATGAAAGAGTATCTAAATGAAAGGTTTCCAGAGAATCAGAAAGGTCTTGGAGATCATTGATTTGCAACTTATAGGATAAGCAGGAATGCTCAGCAAACTCATGACTAGGCTAGAAAAGAAGGCTAAGCAGTTCACATCCAGAGGACACTGAAATGGCATATACAGACACACAAGCTGAGAGAAATACTTACCAATGAAATATTCCAAGTAAAGACATTAAATTACCTCACACAATACACAAAAATAACCCCAAAATGGATCAACAGACCTAAATATAAAAGCTAAAACTAAACAGCTCCAAAAAATTCATTAAAAAATTATCAGAGAAAGGAGTTCTGGCAAAATGGCGC